CGATGCTCAACTTCAGACAACCTTTTTTCACTTTGCTCAGAACCTAATATCTATCACAAGAGCGATATATTTCATTTGACATTGATACCATTCAGTGAGTCGTCGCTAGAATCCACCAACCAGCCTGTTTGCGATAGCCAAAGTCCATCTACAGCACCGATTGAAGACTCGGGACAACAGTATCGTCATGCCAAAACCTCTCAGCCACATCAAGATAGCGCTCCGTCGCTCCGGTGAGCGCGGATACGCCGAGCACGGCGGCTGGCTGAAAACATACCACACCTTCAGCTTCGCCGACTACTTCGACCACCGCTTTCTCAACTTCGGCTGCCTGAGGGTGCTGAACGAAGACCGCGTCGCCGCTCGGAATGGATTCCCACTACATCCGCACCGGGATGCAGAGATCTTCAGCTACATTCTCAGCGGTGAGCTGACACACCGAGACAGCATGATCAAGAAGGGAGCGGAAGGCGCGCAGGGCAAGCAATTCTACCGTATGCAACGAGGCGATGTGCAATTCACGACTGGAGGAACTGGTAAGAACCTGCTTCTGATCCATTATAATTTTCCGATGTGAAGATCCTAACCGGACAATCAGGAATTGCGCACTCTGAGCAGAACGAGTCGAGCAAACCAGTGCATTTCCTTCAAATCTGGGTCCTGCCCTGGAAGTACGGGCTGAAACCGCAGTACCACACAATGTCGTTCAGCGAAGAAGTTAAACGGAAGGCCTTCGTTCCGATCCTGTCGCCGTTGGCAGCAGGGCCAGATGCAACCCCCGCAGAGGAAGAGGCTGCTCGTCCCAGAATTCCAGACACGATCCCCATCCACGCCGACTTTCTGATGGGAGTTGGAATTATCGCCCCCAATACGACGTTCAAATGGAACGTTGGCGCAGGAGATGTAGTCAGCTCGAAGAAGAAGAGGAATGTATATATCCATCTGCCCATGACTAAACAGGGCAAAGCGAAGATCAGGCTAGCCGGCAGGGAAGACGCTGTGCTAGAAGAAGGCGATGGGGCATTTGTTACTGGAGTGAACGCTGGTGATATGCTTGCAGTGGAAAGTATTGGGGAGGCTGAGGCTGAGGTGGTGGTGCTGGACAGTAATTGAGAGGCTGGTAGTAATAATGAAACATATCACTTGCATTTCGTTTGAAATCTGGATCATGAATCTTCACTCCCAGAAAAAAGCAATCACTTCTTCTCTTATCTTCATTTCAGTCTTTTACTCACCTCACATCAGCTTGCACACAAATTTTCAGAGGAAAAAGCATTTTTGTTACACCTCAAAAGTTTGGATTTCCTGTTTCCACATGAATTCATCGATATGATTAAGAGTGGAAGAGATTGTGGCCACAAGACTGATGGCCACAAGACTGAATTTTTCATTTACTTTGAAAATCAAATCAATAAGACGTCTCTAACCTCGCTGGGCCTGGATACATTCGCTCAAATGGTAGCAAGGATGAGAAAATATGACCAAAGTAAGGACGATATTCCGAGCTTTCGAGATTCTCCCCCCTAACCTTTAGTAGGCCCAGTCAAGAAATCGAAGACAAGCCGTTCTTAACGTCCACTTTCGACAAACGGAAATTCGAAGTCCAAAGGTCTCCTTGCAACCGCACGCCCCATAACAAGTCGCTCCGCAGTCAGCTCATAGGATTGATCATCTTCGAGAAACACGTGAAACTCGCGAAGACCTCGCAGATCCTGAAAAGCCTCGAGCAACTTCCTCACGTATTTGTTCCGATGTGGGGCTGCATTGCGCCAACTAGATGACCTGGTACCCAAGTCCACGATGGTGAGAGAGAGGCGTGAAAGTTCAAAATGCTCCCGTATGAAGCGGCGTAACACTGACCAAGACACCATGGCAGAGTCTTCGTGGGGCTTGTGGCTAGGCTTTGCGGGGTGTCGATGCATCGCAGGGAATTTGAAGACCAGATGGCGAATCAACATGAAAGACGAGGTTGGGATACTGTTCATGAAGCCCATCATGAGATCGGGGTCTTCCTCCACAAAGGCGAAGCGATTCATGGTAAAGAAGATCCGGCGCGCATCTTCATAGAATGCCCGACTAACAAGGAAGTACCTTACAGGCGACGAAAAACAGGAGCAAGTGGTCGAGTACGCCGTCTGACGGGCAGGACAGAAGCACGCCGCCTGGAGCGGAGAGCAGGTGCCGCAGCAGGTGAGCGGGTGAGACTCATTTACACGCAGAGACTTGCGATCTATGAACGATACGATGCCTGATACCCGGCCCCCAGGTGGCAGGTACGGGTCCAACTGGTTCACCAACAAGAATTCAAGTATTATCAACTGCACTTCTTTAGGCAGATCAAAGTACGGAAAGGTACGATTTTCTCCGAGATTGCCAGTCAATCTCAGGGCATTTCTCTTGACGACGGGACGTATATCCTCCTCCGGGGTGTGACTGAAATGAAAAGCACACTGAGAGAGGGCAGGAAACGGGTCCATAGCAGACATTATCTTGAGGGCCACTGCCGTGTCCTTGACTCTGCACTTAAGACTGAAATATCTGAGATTGACCATTTGCTGGGCGGCATAGCGGCAGAAACGAGACCACAGCCGCAGAAGATTGCGCTGAGCGCCAGGCTTGATGAAACGATTGTCCCACGTACGCATTTCGATATGCAAATATCCCACGTCTTCTGCGGCCCAATCGATGGCAGTAAAGAAGCAATCCCAGTCGTTCAAATTGGTAAGTACGAAACTAAAGCGGTTGTGCGCCCAGAACAGGGCACCCAGGTCCTCCCGGAACTCGCGAGAAACCATGAGCACTTCTGTCGGCAGTCGTGGATGATCACAGAGTCGACCAGCGCGGGTGGCCCAATTTCCACGCGTATGAAAAAGATTACGCGTGTCGCACGTGTGGTCAGCAGCCTGTTTGACTCTGTGTGCCTCAGCCGTTATATCGATCAAACAGGGCCGTATTAGTCCTATGTACTCCAGAATCCGAAGCTTGGCTTTTTCTGGAAGTTGACAAAGGGACTTGCCAGCCTTCTTCGAAGCGGACATGCTTGTGGTGTCGTTCTCCCTATCTCTGCCCTTGGAGCTAGACCCTTGGTTTTCAGATGATGATTTGACTGTACTCAACGACTCGAATAATGCAAAGAAGGACTCTTCATCAGGATCGAGCCGCCCCACCAGGGATCCGTTGCGATGACGCTGAAGAAGAGACTCGTCTGCAGAGGTCAGAAGTTGATCTAGGAAGGTAGTAGGCTCCGAGTGAATTGCAGGCTAGAACTTACCCATGACAATCGGCAGGCTGAAGGATGCTCCGCGTCTCGAAGGCCAGGGAGTGTAAGACTAATTACCAGCCGTCATGGAGACAATGGGATGAAATGGGCAGGTAAAGGAGGTCACATGAGAGCAGCGAGAAGCGGCAGATGCTCTCTATGAACGTGATGGAGACGAAGGAAAGATGCCAAGTGAAGTGATTCCTTTGACCAAACATGTAAACACTGCACCCGGTACCGGGACGCGCTATCACGGGGCTGATCTAGGCTCGCATTCAATGCCTGGGGCATTCACTACCAGGGGCACTTTACACCCCCTCTACCTTGACCTTTGCCCCTCCAGACACCGAGTCATCATCCTTCATAACTTCATCCTTGAGCTTCACTCCTGTGCTCTTCTTTGAGAGAAGTCCTTTGACTTCGCTCTTGCACAACTTTGTCCCAGCAAGATCGCACTCACCACACCTCCGGCCAACAGGTAGGCAAACTGTCTGTCCTAATCCCACAAGCAACTTGTTGATTTCATGCCATTTATCCCTAGGGAGCCAGGACTCTAATGCCATGCGTGTCTCCTCAGGTGTCTTGGTTTTGTGCCAGCCCCAAAGATTCGTGATACGGTGAACGTGCACATCAACTCCAATTCCTTCGTCCTTTCCCCAGGCAGCACTCATGCAGAGATATGCCATTTTTGGCCCCACGCCGGGCAGCTTCATGAGCTCCTCGGCGGTCGAGGGTATATCTGAGTTGTACTGATCTCGGAGTATCTCAGCCGCTGCCTTGATATACTTGGTTTTGTTGTTATGGAAGCCAACTGTCCTAATTAACTCGTTGAGTTTCTCAGGAGACACTGCCAGGATGTTCTCGAGATTCAAAGTGCTATCTCTCAGAGGCTGTGATGGCTTGAGGTCAACATCGTCTTGCTCTTCTTTCTTAACTATGGGATCTTCCGCTGGGGCTCTTCCGTCCCCCAGCTCGGTGTGTAACCGCTGCATAGCCACAGCTGTCACTGTGTCCTTGGTCTGGGACGATAACATCAGTGCAATAAGGGTCTGGAATCGTTTGTCTCTGGGAGACGATGATCGCCAATAGAGTTCAGCGCAGCCCATGGTATCCACAGGAGCTGTCGGGTTGTTCTCCCGCATTTTCTTGACCATGGAATAGATGGTCTCCCAGCTCGATGGCGGTTCTATCTTGATTGAACCATCATCGCCCTTGATCTTGCGGGCGGGTGCGCGACGTGATTTTGGTTTCGCAGGCTCCATCTTGACGGCCTCACGTTTTGCGACGGTCCTACTGGGTGCTCGTGTCGTTCTCCTGGTGGACAAGCTGCTCGGGCTACTCTTTCTCTTTTTCAGAGGGGGTTCCAAGATATCCTCGATGTCCACAGTATCAGCTGATGAGAGCGACGAAGTATCGTCACCGTCATTCTGCTGGAACTGTGCTGCCGTCATCGTAGGCGCAGTCTCAGCATGGCCATTTGCGCCGGCACTGAAAGCAAAGCGCTGAAGGACATTTGTCCCTGACGAACTACGCGTTTGGCGTCGCGTAGGAGGCGAGAGAGCCTGCAGAAAGCTTGCCGTCTCTTTGGAAGTGCGCGAAGTACGCATTGTTGATTGTCTAGTTTGTAGATGAGGTTAATTATATTATCTCGTGGATAAGAGCTTCATATGAATAATGTAAAGGTACCCATAGACCATAGAAAGGGGCGAACTTTTAGCAGTGGGTGCTTAGCTGCTTACACATGGTTTCCCCGACCACGGAAGCCCAGACCGTGGAACTCTTCAGTGACATGGGGAAGACCCACGGCCACTGCCAGCTGAACCTCGGTGTAAGTATCCTTATTGACGTTTTGGGGGAATAATTACCTCGAGAGCTGCTTCAATCTCCTCACACCCTCCATCATTCATTTCAATTCTAGAATCGCGGTCGGGAGCCAGATCCTCCCGGAAGTAGGCACTTCAAACCCCTGATCTCGTTGATCATCGATTGCGCCCGCGGCTCCCACATTCTTGAACTGCCTGCTATGGCGTCAAACTCGACGACGCAACGCCTCCTCCGCGAACTGAAAGACTACACCAAATCCCCGAACGAGGCCTTGCTCCATCTAGGTCCAGTAGATGAAGATGATCTCTTACACTGGGAAGCAGTCCTGAAGGGCGTCAAAGGCACACCGTACGAAGGTGAGTTACTCAATTCAGGCACCGGTCGCCGTCCGCCGACCGACACTATCTACCCTCCCCTCCACAACCGCATACCTTCTCTTCGGTATAACTTCATCTTAACATCTGACTCAATCGTACTAATACATATGGGTATCTCAGGCGGCCTCTGGGGCCTCAAAATCACCATCCCACCGAACTACCCCCTCGCGCCGCCCAACATCCGCTTCACGACTCGCATCTCCCACCCCAATATCTCCTTCACAACGGGCGAGATATGTCTCACGCTCCTGACGACCGAGCACTGGAGCCCTGTGTACACGCTCTCGACGACGTTGACGGCCATCCACCAGTTGCTCACTGACCCGCGGCCGGATTCGCCGCTGAACGTCGATGTGGCGGCGCTGCTGCGCGACGGGGATATCCCGGCGTGGGAGAGTGTCGTTCGATATTGGACTGAGGAGGAGAGATGGCAGGGGCAGGGGACTGTTAGTCGATGAGTCGAAACGCTCAAAGGGGCGATGAGGGACGAACACCCGACATTTCTTGATCATTTTTCGAAGAGCGGTAATGATATCTGTTACGTATATACATTTACATACCCGACGGATCTGGAGTTGCATATACCTGGTTTTTGTTCCGATGCTTGTCTACATGTCTAGAGAGAGCGGAAGGGGTTTCCTGGAGGAGCTGTAATTATTCACTGATATCAACTATCGAAGTAGATGAAACACCCATCGTCAGACGCAACTGCTTTGCAAATATGCACGCTTATGGACAAGGCAGGATCACCATGTCCTGGCAATGATAAGGAGAGACATGATACGCTAAAACCAAGATATTAACAAGAATAACCCGCCGGTATCACCATATGGACCACATATTCGAAAAGAGAGACAACAGTCGGACGCCAGAGACCATGCAAAGGATCGTAAAAGGTCGGAGTCATGTCATGAGTAAGTTTAAACAAGGAATAAACGCCATCAGATGCAATAAAACGCAAACTGTGAGCACAACCATAAGACCAGGATATTCGGCTTGATAGGATAATATTGGGTTCAAGGTGACACTGCCAACTTGTCCGGCTGTCTAGAGAGCCATGGCCACGGCGGCAGCGCCTCCAAGCATGACGAGCAGCTCCTTCTGGAGCCCGGTGATGGATGCGGCATTGCCGGTTTGCAGGCCGGGGGCCGGACCGGTGGTTGTAGCGCTTTGGCTGGAGCTGTCCCCCGTGGGGTAGACGACCGTCACAGCTGTGACGGTGCTCTGCTGGCCATTGGGGAGAGTGGTGGTACTCATGTAGGTCGACGTGTAGGGGGTACGGGTGGTGGAATGCTTGCTGGTGGTTGCACCCTCGCTTGTGGATGACGTAGTTGTCAGAGTTGTGCCGGTGTGCGAGGTTGTAGTCGATGTGGTAGTAGTAGGACCAGCCGTGGTGGGGGTAGGAGTGTTCTGAGTAGTCGACGTCGTGGTCTCGCTTGTGGTGGTTGTAGTAGTAGGCTGCGTCTCAGTAGTGGTAGGAGCGGTGTTGGATGGGTTGGAAGTCGTTGTATGTGACTCGGTAGTGGTAGTCGTTTCCGAAGTGGTCTGCTGAGTAGTAGTCGAAGGCGGCTGGGTCGTTGCAGGCGAAGACGTGGTGGCGTTGTTGCCGATATCTCTTGCGAGGTTCAGATGTGCTGCCAGTGACCGATCCTCTCTCTGGATGGCATCAATGGCGTCTCTGTCAGTGGGGAAGACACCATGGCGAAATCGCTCTATGAGATGCAGAGCTTTGTGAATCGAGTTTTCATTGAGGTTGCTGAGGTACCCAGAGAAGGTATCCTCTCTAACCGCCAGCACTGGCTCGGATTGCTCGGGAGCTGGAGCTGCGATAGCTGATGACGCAGCCAGAGAGACAAAAAGCAAGCGAATTAAGCGGTTCATAATGATTAATGTACGGACTTGAGGGACCTCGCAATGGGTGAAGGATGGGGAGGAGAATTGAGATTGAATGAAGTGCAGAGGATTGCCTGATTCAGCAGTAGGCTGAGATGATGCGAGGAGATGCGACGCTGTGAGACAATTGATTATCAGCTCCTATGATTAGCAACCGGTGGGCGTCAGTCAAGTTGCTTGACGAATAGCAGTTGCAGCAAGGTGGACGCCAATTTGCGATGAAAAGAGAATTATATGCAAGAAGTGAAGATGAGGAGCCCAGGAGGCGTCCGGGTCCTTTTGTTTGTTCCCGGTTTGGGAGCCTGAGAAAGCAGGATACGTAACTAGAAAAAAAACTAGACTAGTGAAGGCCTAAGGCTAGTAGCCACTTTAGTGACTCCAAAAGCCGTTTGTTTCGGCTTCGCATTCAGTGAGCATAGAGTAACCGACCAATCAGGGCCTTGCGCCTTGGCACTATCTGTGGATCAGCCATGGAAACCTCGGGCTTTTACCACCAAAAAAAGACATCAGCAAAACAAAGGCCGCTACCTAGCAGTAATAATAGAAGGTGGCAATGCTACAGCGTACATCATCCCATAGACCACTTCAATCCATTCCTTGCATGTACGTCTGAATAAAAGAATATAACAGAATAAGTAATCTCCGTTGCTGTCAATAGTACGTATCCGCTTCTGATAACAGCCTTATCACTCGGCATTTATCATGCTTCGGGATAGCTGAAAAGCCCACCTACCCAAGTTGTTTGGATAATATCGCTCATATTTACTATCTTTGTGTCTCAGAGCAAACATGGTTATTGATCAACAATGGATACTGGAGACCAATGATGAAACCAGGGAAAGGGGAGAGGAAGAACGGCCAACACATCCAGTTCCAAGTTAGGAGTCGGCCTATTCCGTAACACAAGGTTCTGTCACAATTCGCTTTCGGATGCGACATCATCACCGAGCCTCTCACAGCCAATCAAACAGACACAAGCATGAGATCAGGATTACGCAAGAATTGATAGCGCATTGCTAGCGTAAATCAAGTAATCTGAATATCTACCTCTGGTACGCGACTGCATTTATTGTGATGGAGTGGCTAAGAAGCCATTAGAATCCATCAGACGTTAAGTGGAATGGAAAATCCCCAGCCAGGAAAAACAGAGCAAAGAATCCCTGGATCATGTAATGTTGAACCTGAATCGCATGGTTGATGACCCGGATAAGGGAGCTCATCCGCTTGATGCCGCATTAGGACGAGTTGTGACTTGCGTGGTTCCAACAGAATCCCGATCTGCTACTTACCTATTTTTGCGGCTGTGGCTTGCCTGAGTGGAGCTACACGCTCGATGATATGATTGGTCCCTACTAAATTGAGAATCGCCAGCTTGTTTTCAGTTATTGCTCTACCATTATTATTGCTACACAGTTGATTAGTCCGATGTCCATCTTCGTATCTCTGCAGTCTGGAGGCCATCGGCACAAGCAAATTGGTGCAACTCGGTACTTATGCCGTCTGATGAGATCGTGCTCGGTAATATGCAGAATGCCAAGACGTCACTCTACCCTTTTTTGGAAGCAGCCCATAACCCGCCATACAGGGCCACAAATTTGTTCTCTCTCCAAATAATCTGAGACACCGGCACTATTTTGCCAAAACATACTACTTTCTATAAATATCCCTGATTAAGTCTAGGACCGAAATCTGGCAGCACTATTATGAGGTTGATCCAATCGACGGGAGCACTCTAATGTGAGTCTTGAGCTCATCAACTGTTGAACAATAGTACGCAGCTGACAATTCTCGGGTTCTTGATTTTGCTAGACTTTTGGATTGATTGGTCTAACAATAGCACATGAGTTGACGAAAAAGAAAACTTAGAAAGCAGACAATCATAAAACGGCTTCAAGGACACAGACAGTAATGTGTGCTATCACTGCCAATCTTCAATATAGGAGCATGTCCTTCGGGAATCTCAAACCACAGCCAAACTAGACACTCTATGAACCATTCCTCACGATCGAATCACGGTTATTGTTGACTATGCCCACCCAGGCGCCCCATCCAACAACCCTGCCATAGATGGCATCGGCGATCTCCCTCAGGGTCGCCCTGTCGCTCAGCCTACTTCGATCGATTGGTGCACTCAGTGCAATGAGCTCGAAGAAATAACGATGGGGACCATCTTCCGGGATTGATTTGGGCGGAAGATACACTGTATTGCCTCTGTTCTGCCCGTACTTGAATCCGCCTTCGAGCATATATGAGTCATTGTGCGTTCTGCTCACTTGGAAGTCGTCGTGCTCAAGCCCGGTGAAAACGCGTGGGATTCCGTAATACAGCCCGTGGATGACAGAATGGGGAAGAGGAGCGTCAGGGTCCTCGGCCACAAGAAGGTATTCTCGGATATTTCCAGCGGGAGAAGGCCATTCCAGAGCCGGAAAGAAGCCGGCTCCCTCTTTCATGTGGTCAACACCCAGAGGCGAGCCTGATGGGCCAATCTCGGAACAATTGAGTGGAATCGTGGGGTACGGGAAGTTGGCAAAAGCTGGCCCACTTGTGAATAGCTTTTCATATTGGGCCCTGGCGCTGACTACCAGCATAAGGCAGCTGAACGTGAAAGCTATAAGATGCATCTGCGAGTAACGGTCAGAAGTCTCCGTTCGCCAGGCAACTCGACGTCATACTTATAGAATGTTATCTTTCAAATGCGAGGTTCTTGAAAGGATGACTTTAGAAGGATAAGCTGTACAGCAGTTTGTCTTTCAAAGCGCGGGCAGTGTTGGGTGATTGAGGAACAATTCCCTTGGGGGAAGTTAAAGAGGACATTTTGCAAGAGTAAGGTAGCTACGGAAAGAGCAGAACCACCTGCATATGGAAGCTGCTGTCAAGGAGCAGCACGAACACGCGCTGGCGCTTTCTTTCCATGAACGCCTGACCAGCATGTCCTTTTAACTCAACAATCGCAGTGTGTACAAAGTGGCAGACTGGAGTGTTGTGTGCAGGAGCAGACGAACTCATTAGTATCTATTGTGTTAATTTGGAGTAGTTCGATGCGGGTTGTTGATCGTGTTCGGCTATCGCAGGCACCCCAGACGTGCGGGGATCAGTGTGGATCTTTGTCCATCTGATGTTGAAGCTTACCGAGGCAACACCTTGACATCTCCAGATTCTCATATGATGTTACATTCACAGATGTGATATAAACCATGCACTATAGATAGGACTTGTCGAGGTATCTCTCTGATCATCAACCTAAATTCTCACTGCGTCCTTCCCTTTGCCACAAGCTTCCCGGAGTCGCTTCTGTTTACCAACGGAACCATTACCCTCGAAGTCTTCAATATGGAAAGCATGTGGAAAGAAATTGTCGCCTCGTATCTTCCGCAGACAATCGAATTTGCGGGCACAGTTCTGATTCAAGTCATCTCCTTTTGGCTTCCATCTCTCTGCTACATCTCCTTAGACGCCTTGTTCCCGTCCTTCTCACAACGGCACAAATTGCAACCAGCACCCAGACAGCCTAGCCGACGTGATATCTGGCAATGCTTCGTGGTAGTCGTGCAGAACTCGGTGCTGTCCATGGGCCTGCATCTCTTCCAAATTTTTGTTCTCAAACGGGGGACTTCAGCATTTCGAATCCAAGCCTCGTTGCCACCCCTGACCGAATTCCTTCGTGACTTCATTCTGAGCATCCTTCTGAGAGAGGCGCTCTTCTATTACAGTCACCGTTTCCTTCACCGTCCGTTCTTCTACGCTAAAATCCACAAGCGGCATCATAAATTCACAGCACCCATCGCACTGGCAGCGCAGTATGCCCATCCCATCGAACACATTGTGGCCAATACGCTTCCAATTACTTTGCCACCGCAGATTCTGAGGAGTCATATCCTTACCTTCTGGGCCTTCCTGGCTTACGAGCTCGCCAACACCGCGACTGTACATAGTGGGTACGATTTCTTCAAAAACAAGGCGAAAATGCACGACCTACATCATGAGAAGTTCAACTTGCACTATGGTTCCATCGGCCTTTTAGATTGGCTACATGGGACTAATAAGCTTGAAAAGAAACGGAAGGAATAGTGGAAATCGAGAGAGGCATATGTTTGTTAGGCTGCGACAAAAAGGTCAAAATGTATATCTATCTCAGCAGTCTGTGCTTCGGCAAGTTGTTAATACATCATCCATGTGATACCAGGCGTCAAAAGTCTTGCATACTCATTAGTGGTCATGAAGTCTTGACATCTCTCGTTCTGCCGTGTCTCATCCTATACCTTGGCTGTCAGTCTTCCACAGTATCCTACAGTATGTACTCACTACGCATTGCCTCGCTTGCCTCCCTCTGACGCACTCTCCTGCCGTAGCGCCGCATATCGCTCTGCTAACGCCAGGTTGGGACCTGATCCCGACAACTTAGCAGCCCCCTCATCGAAACCACGTTCGTCGGTCTTCCCATCAGCTCGCTGATGGACTGACCACCAGCGCGCCCCTAAACCCAAGTTATTCTGCAAAGAGACACGACAGTTTTTCGACAAGCCCTCCATTTTCTGCCAAACTTCGCAGCTGCTACGTCAATTCCGTGCCTTTCGCGAGCCTCGTCGTTCCGAGTGGGTGACCTTCGAAATCAACTCACCAGAGGGGTTAACTCGTAAGCCTTCCGGGAGCCGCAAACTCAAGCGCATCAGCAGGATCAATTTGTTAGTTGAGTAGCAGTGATGTAGCTCGTAGATATTGATCTCGACAGGCGTAACTCCAGCCTCAGCCATCGCCCTTCGCGCTACCCGCTGTGTCATATCGTAACCGATCAGCAAGCGGGGATACGTTGGTGTGTTGATGCGCATGGGCTGACAAGTACGCGCTGACAATAGTACCGGATAGGGGCTATTGCGATCTATGTTTGACCATCCGTCGGCAGCTTGATACTCGATCGTCCTGCATTACTATCAACGAATTCAAGTTTTGCAGTCTTGAAATAGTGCTTTGACACAGGAAAGCAATGAACATGAACTCTATGCGTCTTTCAATTCTGTAAATATGCTCTTGGCTCTGGGGGCTGCGACCGGAACGAGAATTTCCTGGAATAAGCTATAGTTACATGTTGAGCATGCTGGAACAATCATCGGTGTTTTGTATTCTGTCAGAGCCAAGTAAAGGTAGTGTCCAGATGCTATGCATCACTCGTTTATGCAAATGGTTGTTAGAGGCTTTCCATACGCCGTAGTTATATATCTCCGGTTCGACGACACCACAGTTTTCCCCCAACAGTCTTTATTCGACTAATAGTCTAGTCAGGGACATCAAATTTGCCAGAGACTTAGATCAATCATTCCCGAAGACAAAAAGCGAAAAAACGCCTGTAAGTAAGAAAGATAGCCAATCAAGTCCTTTGACTAAGGGATTGCTTGAGGACAGCGCTAGGCTTTACCAGTGGAATCCCTAGAATAATTGCCGGCAGGTCTAGACCAGCCAGGACAAGCCAGGCTGCCACAATACTCCGTCTGCTCTTAAATTAGGCATGAGATGGATCCGATTCATCAAAAGATATTCATAGTGCTTCGTTCCACTTAAAGGAAGATATTAAGAGTTTCAGAACGAAATGGTAGCCAAGAGACCAATAGCGTTTAAAGCTTTTATTATGATTGTCGGAGCGGGAGACAGAGTGGCAGCGTTTAATATACATGGAAGAAACCCAAACCTGAACCCGACATTCATGTTTCTTTCTATACATAGGTAGAGAGGATCAGGTCTGATTTCAAGGCCATGTTAAATCCCAGATACTCCGTACATTTGTGTGATAACATGAAACATGCTCACTACCAATCTTTTTCTCGGAATGTGGTCGTTTTCCCGCCCAATCAGAGAGGCGGAGTCGAGATTCTTCTAAGAGGCTGTGTGGCTTTCCATGGATTGACGTCAAGCTCTGCCTTTTTTGGCCGAAGGATCAAATGATTCTTCTTTTAATCTCTCTTGACAACTGAGACCAGACATCAAACGAATAACGATACTGCAATGGCTTTGCATCAGAGTTTTCTTTTATTTAGCTTTGCCGTGATGGGCCAGCAGCAAGTATTGTCATGTAAGTAATGGTACTGAGCAAGGACAATGTTCCACAGCCGGACCACGACACATACGCTGAGACACTGTTTGTATGTGCTGGCAAGTCAGGTAAATTTTCAGAACCTAGCGATTGGATTTGGAGAGATAGACCGATGCATTTATGATCAGATTAGCTCCCTACCTCTGGAGTGAGCCATGAATGTCAAATCAGAACCCGGCTGGATTGCTTTCCCGCCTCAGTCGGGACTCCAAGAAAAGGTGGGTTTAATTTAATACCACAAGTCGGCATCGTAGATGATTCTCAATCCTACATCTGATGCACGGCATTTATACAAAATATGATACAGCATCATTACACACAAATAGAACATAATGCAACGCATAGCAGCAAAGGAGTAGCAACAGCGACCGCTATTCAGGGTCTCAGGGACTGAGCCCTTATTTCTGAGGCCTGAGGGGCTAAAAGCCAAAGCTCCACCCGCCCCTGGGAGATTCCCCACCGCGGCAGCCAGCAGGGTCAATCATCATCAAGCTGCAGTGACTGCTCTTTGCATTATTCTCTTTTGGTGGGAATTGAGTAGATAAATTGTCAGTTGGGAATGTTTCAGAACCTCTGCTTAACTTGGAGGGAAAGTAGAGAGGTAGTACTCTGCGATTTGCCACCCAATAATAATCACCATCAGCACAGTTGAATTCATTCCCTTCACAGTTTTACATCTTTCACGCTGGGCCGATCGGATGATCTTGGGCTCTTTTGCGCCCACGATCCACAAGAGTGTCAGGCAGGGCCCATTCCTTTTCCCCACATTGCTTGTTGATGGCCACTGAGATGGTCAGAGCAGTCTTCCTTTGTCAATCAAGTGCAGAGTGATGACGAGTCCTGTGTATCTACTGTGAATGTGGAAGGTTATCCCTGTGTATGTAAAAGTATTACCATCTCCAGTGCTATTCTTATCCACTGGCACCCCAGACACTGGGAATGATACCGTAATGCTATTTGCGTTCCCTGTTTCTTTCAGGGATGGGGTCCTGGTTGGTTTTAAGGTCCTGCCACCCTTCCTGGGCATCCCATAGTTGACTGCTCTCCCTGCCTCTTTTGTTCTTTTCCTCCTGCATATCCCTTCGGTCGTTCATATCCTTCTTTCTTTTCTCCAGTCCTTCGTACTTCTATTAATCCTCGATATCGTCACTCGCTAGACTACAATTCTCCATTTCTCCTTCTTCCCATTTCGTCCTTCGCTGACATTGACTTCTGTTAATCCACGGTCTCGCCATTCTCTTCGAGCCGTCTACCTATCCGATCCCCTGACGAATACACATCACTCATAATGAAGGCCTCTGCTGTTGCTGCGGCTCTCGCCGTCGGTGCCTCCAGCGTTCTGGCAGCCCCCTCCATCCAGGCCCGTGCCGACGTCACTCCCATCACCGTCAAGGGTAATGCTTTCTTCAAGGGAAATGACCGTTTCTATATTCGCGGTGTCGACTACCAGCCCGGTGGCTCCTCTGACCTGGCTGACCCCATCGCTGATGCCAATGGTTGCAAGCGTGACATTGCCAAGTTCAAGGAGCTCGGTCTGAACACCATCCGTGTCTACTCGGTCGACAACTCCAAGAACCACGACGAGTGTATGAATGCCCTGGCTGATGCTGGCATCTACCTGGTGCTCGATGTCAACACTCCCAAGTACTCCATCAACCGCTCCAAGCCCAAGGAGTCGTACAACGATGTCTACCTCCAGTACATCTTCGCTACCATTGATTCTTTCGCCGGTTACAAGAACACCCTCGCTTTCTTCTCCGGTAACGAGGTTATCAACGACGGCCCTTCTTCCTCTGCTGCTCCCTATGTCAAGGCCGTCACTCGTGATCTGCGTCAGTACATCCGTAGCCGCAACTACCGTCAGATTCCTGTCGGCTACTCTGCTGTAAGTTCCTCTGTACATACTTGTTGGTCGTGCGCTCCTGTTGACTGGTCCAATTCTAGGCCGATATCGACACCAACCGTCTTCAGATGGCTCAGTATATGAACTGCGGCTCCGATGACGAGCGCAGTGACTTCTTCGCTTTCAACGACTACTCCTGGTGCGATCCTTCCTCTTTCACAACCTCTGGCTGGGATCAGAAGGTCAAGAACTTCACTGGCTATGGTCTTCCTCTCTTCCTGTCCGAATACGGCTGCAACACCAACAAGCGTCAATTCCAAGAAGTCGGCTCCCTCTACTCCACGGACATGACTGGTGTCTACTCTGGTGGTCTCGTGTACGAGTACTCTCAGGAAACCAGCAACTACGGTCTGGTGGAGGTTAGCGGCAACGACGTCAAAACGCTTTCCGATTTCGACGCTCTGAAGACCGCGTTCCAAAAGACCTCCAACCCCTCCGGCGACGGCAACTACAACAAGACTGGTGGTGCCAACCCTTGCCCTGCCAAGGACTCCCCCAACTGGGACGTTGACAACGATGTTCTGCCTGCCATCCCCGAGCCTGCCAAGAAGTACATGACCGAGGGTGCTGGCAAGGGCCCTGGTTTCGCCGGCTCTGGCAGCCAGGACCGTGGTACCCAGTCTACTGCCACTGCTTCGCCCGGATCTGGCTCTGCCTCTGGAAGCAGCAGCAGCGGCACCTCCACCTCTTCCAAGGGCGCTGCAGCTGGCCTGACTGTCCCTAGCCTGACCATGGCTCCCGTTGTCGTCGGTGCGGTTACTCTCCTATCCACTGTCTTCGGCGCTGGCCTCGTCCTTTTGTAATTTTTCTGTTCTCATACCCTTTTGAACAAATTGTCCTATCGCCATGGTTTTTACTGTTCGTCTTCGGTTCGGTTCTTTGGGCACCCGACTGGTCTACAATGGGGGGATTGTATTCAACTGATGAATTATCCGTGGTGTTATTTCACACCCCAGCGAGAAAGACTCGGGAAAATGTACAGTTTAGGTTGTCTTCTCTTGGCCTCTTATAGATTAATTGAATGACCTAATTTTCATCTTTTTTACCTTGCTGGTCAACGATTTTGCAGTGATCGCCTGCTGCTTGTGCCCTTGGCAGCGACCGACCCACCTCCCATCAAACCACGGAAGATTCTTGAGAGACGAGACTGCTGCGAGCCTGTCGGTAGGGCTGTTGGTCAAGACTAGTCACTAGTTTACAGGATAAGCTCTCCTCAGGAATCACTATTCTGACTGACCTCAATAGTAATCTTACATTGTCCAACATTTTCCATTGGCACCAGTTTCGATCTCCTATATAAAGGTACTGTCGTTGCGGATTGTCAGCTCCGACACGCTCTCATTAGCATCCTGACTCGGTCGACCAATCAACCACCACGTTTTATTGATCAATCCACTTGATAATCAACGTCCTGGAGGGGAACTGTTTCGACTAGATGGAAAGGTGGGCAATATCGGTATCGAGGGTTGACGGCTCAAACGGCCGACGTTGAAATATGAAACCAGACTTATCTAGCTCTCCTAAGCGCGGCCCACTCGGTGCAGGTTGACGTTTTGCTGGCGCTTCTTGGGTTGCTTATTTCCTGCCGGCGAATGCGACATTCCTTCCATCGGAGAAGCAGTTATGCTCTTGTCGGTTTCTATCTAGTCTAGCCGTCGATGAGCCCACCGGTTTAATTCTTCCAATCCACCGGGTGCCGTCCTTCATTTCTCGGTCGTTTTCCGTGACAGGGCCAGTCCGTGCTTGAGGACGGATGGGTGTGTATATGAATGATGTCCTCGCCAGATGAATGATGGCTTATCCATTCCTTCTTTTGTTTCTCTTCTTTCCTTCGGCAATTCTAGCCGTCATGCGCTTTGGGCTGCTGCTGGGTCGGCTATCCCGTTCCTTTCATTCATTATCAGATTTTGTCTTTAGCATACGCTGGTTGTTTGCGACCTTGCTTTCTTTCTCGTTCTGATCGACCGAAGATAAAATGCGTTCCTTTCTTTTCGGTGGCTTCGTAGCCTTGAGCTCGACGCTCGGCGCCTTTGCGGCAAACTACAACTCCTCCGCCTACAGTGACTCGGCATCCGGGATCGACTTTCAGAGATGGTGCGATGAGGATACTGGATTCTGCTTCGGTCTGGCTCTCCCGGAGACCGTAGGAACCGACTTTGTTGGTCAACTGGTGGTCCCGCTGGACAGCTCGAAAGGATGGGGTGGTGTCAGTCTGGGTGGCTCCATGACCTCGGCTCTTTTGATCGCTGCCTGGCCAAATGGGAATTCGGCTGTGTCGAGTCTGCGCAAGACAACCACCTATGCCAACCCGGACGTATACAGCGGAGACGCCAGTCTCACCGAGATCGCCGAGGGCACTTCCGTCAACAGCACTCATCTCACTTATACTTTCCTTTGCAGTGGCTGCATCCTCGGACAACCAGCGACATTCGATGCCACCGATGAAACGTACTTCCTTGGCTGGGCCCTCAGCAAGACCAGCCCTACCACTCCTGCCTCGGCTTCTTCGGCTTTGACATACCATGCCGCTGGCTTTGGTAGCTTTGAGATGCTCCTCGGCCAGGCCAAGTCCTCCAAGTACTCCACCTGGGCTGCCATGGCCAAGTCGACTGGCGGATCGCCCTCCAGCACTCCTTCCGCGTCTGCGTCTGTCACCGCGTCCCCTAGTCGCAGCCCTGTTGCCACCGTGACCCCGACGGTTTCGAACTCCACATACGACTACATCGTTGTGGGAGGCGGTGCGGCTGGTATCGTGGCTGCGGAACGCCTGGCGGAGGCAAACAAGCGCGTTCTGCTGATCGAGCGTGGAGTTGCCCCGACTGTCGAGATGGGTGCGTCTGACGCTCTTGCATGGAACAAGACCCTGGCGCCCGTGGATATCCCAGCCCTGAACCAGGCACTTACCACTCTTGGTGTCGTTGGGGATTACCTGTGCTCAGATACAGCCGGCATGGCGGGATGTGTTCTCGGAGGCGGCACGATCGTCAACGCGATGGCCTTGATTTACCCACAGGAAGCAGACTTTGACGACAAGTGGCCTGCCGGCTGGAAGTGGCAAGATGTCAAGAATGCCGCTGCCCGCTTCTACGAGAGAAACCCGGGAAGTCTCCTCCCGTCCGCTGACGGCCGCCGATACGATCAGGGCATGTACACCGTGCTGTCTTCCTTTTTGAGCGGTCTCGGATGGAAGTCTGTTGATCAGCACAAGCAGCCCAACGAGAAGCACAAGGCGTTTAGTTACCCGTCCTGGTCGGTCGCCGATGGCATCCGAGCTGGTCCTGTGCGTACCTACCTCCCTTTGGTCCAAAACAAGGACAACTTCACCCTGCGTCTGCAGACCACGGTCCGCCGTCTGATCCGCACGGGCGGCCACGTCACCGGCGTGGAGGTTCAGAACGCCTCGGGAGGTATTGAGCTCATCCGGATCCGTCCAGGTGGCAAGGTCATCCTCGCTGCGGGTGCTCTGTCCACGCCTCGCATCCTCTTCAACTCTGGTATCGGCCCTGCCAACCAGATCAAGACCGTCCAGACCGGCAGTACCGGAATCACCCTCCCCGCTCAGGACTGGATCAACCTCCCTGTTGGCCACAACCTCAAAGACCACCCCATGTTCACCATCAAAGTCAGCACCGGCGCCAACTTCACGGCCTTCAACACCTCCAGCGTCATCCCCGCCACCAACTCCCTCGCGCAGCGCATGTACGCCAGCGGCTCCGGCATCCTCACCCAAGGCGGCCACCGTCTGCAATTCTGGAGCTCAAACGTCGCCAGCGACGGCGTCACCCGCTCCTACCAGGCCTCCTGCAGCCCCGGCGGCGACGGCGTCATCACCATGAAGCTGTACCTAACGCACGGCGCCACCTCCTCCGGCGTCCTAGGCATCAACGCCGCCGGCTCCACAACCATCGAAACCGATCCCTGGCTGCAGACAGCTGAGGACAAGGAGGCCCTTACATCGTTCCTGCAGGAGCTCCTCGACGACCTCAAGAAAGCCTCCTACACCGTCCAGGATTACACCTCCGCGGCCGAGATCCTCGCCAAAATGACCAGCGGCGACCACTTCGTCGGCACAGCCAAGATGGGCACCGACGACGGCCGCCGCAACGGCACGTCCGTCGTGGACACCAACGCCAAGGTCTACGGTACCGACAACTTAGTAAGTTCTTCCTGTATCCCCCTCCGGCCCCCCGATTCTAAACTGACAAAAATAGTACATCGTCGACGCGAGTATCCACCCGGATTTGCCAACCGGCAACACCCAGGCCATCGTCATGATCGCCGCCGAGGCCGCCGTCGCCCGTATCCTTGCGCAGGGCAGCGGCCCCGGCTCCTCCAGCGTTGTTGTTTCCGCCCCGAGCCAGAACACCGCCATTGCTTCCGCGTCCAACACTGAGATTGCAGTTCCTGCTCCTACGGGTGGTCGGGAAACCCCTGTCGGGGGTGGAGCTGTGACCTCCGCTGCGGCGGCTACCGAAACCGAAACAGCAGCTGCTTCTACGACAGCCAAGGCCGAGGGCGGTGGTGTGGCTACCGTCACGGAGTGGGTGACGTCTGTGGATGTGGTTACCGTGACCAAGCAGGTTGTTGTGACTGCTACCACGACCGTGACCGTTCTGCCTACGTTTGCCTAGGTCCCTGGGAGAGCCACTAAGCGTGACAGTCAGTGAACGATGTGTTAGATATATAGCTCAATGGATACCTATATTCTCCATTATAATCTAGTGCAAACTCACTCAATCCACAATCTATTCCTCATTTACAAGAATATAACGCTCATGGCCATGGTCCTGTTATCCCACGGACAAAAACCTTGTATAGTATAAACACGAGAACCCCCCGAAACCAAAAAGAAAAGAAAATCATCGCATCGTAATCATCATCAGCCAGAATCATCGGATCACACAGAATCATCTCCCAGCCAGAACTGACCCCCCCATTCGGCCTGTATCATCGCACTCGCGCCCACTCCCACATCCAGATCGTCCAGCGAGAAGACCCCGTCACCGGCGTACCCGCCCGCGCCGTCCGCGAAGAGGAACCCGGTGCCGTGCGCGTCGCCGTGCATCAGCGACATCGAGACGGGGATGTCCGATACGGAGGCGAGGGCAGGGGACGCGAACGAGCCGCAGGTTAGCGGGAAGTGCGAGGGTGGGGGCGCGGACGTGAATACTGGGAGTGGAACTGAGAGTGCTGGGGCGGAGGATCGCGCGCCGGGATGAGGATGCCCGTGTGCGTGTGCGTGTGCCTGGCCGGATGCGTAGCCGGGACTGCGGCTCGTCGTACCCATCTGGGCATCTGTCAAGCTGCGGGAACGCGGAGAAGGTCCCGGTCGTGCGGGGACCGCGCCCCCTGCGCCAGGATGACTTGCAAGCGGTGCTGGGATCGCTGCGTGGCTGGTGGCCGGCGTTTTAGAGTCGAGCGAAGGACGAGGCGCGATGGGGTGGAAGGCGCTGTTTGGACGGGAGGGTCTACCGGATGATTTCTGGAGAAACCGAACCGGAGAAAGACCATATCAGCGAACGACTGCCTGAGAAGGATGCATGGCACACGACAAAGCCCAAAGAAAAGCAAAATCAAGACGGTGCTTCCCCCTCTTGTCTGGTGACATCTACTTTTGAAGATTGAGACTTGGACTCTGCCTCACGTCTGAGCTTGGTGTGCTCCTCTGGAGCTTGGCATGGGGTGCAGTTGCATACAGAGCAGGTCGAAAAGGGGCGACCCTTTCTGGCGATGCGCATCAATGGTCGATCTGTGATTGTGATTGTGAGTCTGACTGAAATTGGAGGAGAGAAGAGGTGGATGGAGGTACCATTGTGTTTACAGGTTGTCACACGGTGCCCGCGGACGCAAGCTTCACAAGCCCACTTTTCACCGTCGATGAGCATCCCTTCATGATATGAAAGGAAGAAGCCATGGTGAGGGATGAGGAGGAGGAATTTATACGTGGACTGACGGAGAGGGGATGAGACAATGCATCATAGGGCAGTGTTGGGAGGATTAAAAGGGAATAGAGCTGGAGCTGGAGCTGGAGCTGCCTGCCTCAGGTGTCCGGAGATCGTCTTGTCTTGCAGCCACGGCCTGCAGGCAAAGTGAATTCCCACTTGGGTAGGTGACGGAGACCAATTTTTACGATATCATTGAATCTAAGAGGATATGATTGGTGCGGATGGAGAAATATTCGACATTTTGGTGGTTGTCAAAAAATGAGGATCCTCTGAGGAATCAGCAGGAAATTTCCTTTGGATGGAGCCTTGTGTGCGGTGGTGTATACACAACAGCTACTACCATTGTTGGATATGCTCGAGATGGAAACCGATGAATGAGACTAGCGATGAGGGATTTTCGACCCTCGGCTCCCGCAAATGAAACCCAGGGATAGGGGTATTTCCAGTTTCTCTCAGCTATCCCCCAAAGCAGCAAAGCAGAAAGACGGGAGATGCTGGTGTAAGCTGGCAATATCATTTCATCCTTTAACAGTGCAAGTGGGCAATGCCAGGGAGATGCCAGATTCGTCCTAGCATTGATCACAACTGGTGGTCCAGCAAATTCCCTCATACATTCGGTCCTCGAGACTCTCTTTCAGACCGCCCCTCTTCCAAAGGAAAACCAATCTTGCTGCCTGGTGTTACGGATCCTCAATGTCTTGCGATAATAATAATAATAATGTCAAACAACGTGATCTGCTAGAGAAGAAAAATTAAGACGAGGACAAGACAATTAGAGCTTGACTGGGACGCTCGGGTCACTATGAGGCTGGAGTAGACATGCACATTTACAGATTACAGACGACAATGTACAGAGTAGAGTACACACTTGAGCATCAATTTGCCTGAGCATCAATGACATGCATCATTGACTAACTCCAATATAACCGAATAATATCATTTCCAATCCATTATCAATCGGAATACTATCATTCCTCTCCGCTCGTAATCAAAATCATATGAATGTGTAGATCATCTCGCTTGATGGAGGTGGCTGAGCACTGCATACCCGGCAGCAGTAGCAGCGACTAGACTAGAGCTTCAGCACAAGCCAGATAGAGGCCCGTGGCGCAGTGTAAATCGCCGCCGATTTTCCATGGTTATCTTCTATGTTGTATCTGATTTACTATGAGGTATTTCCTGATACGATCGTGGCTCTCCTAATTTTCTGCGCGATTTTCACGCGTAGTTTGGGAGTTGTAGTGGTCCTGTTTGTATACTACTCTATCTGCCCCGTAGTGGTTTCGTCCCTTTTGACCGGAGAATTTCATGCAAAATCTCAAAAGAAAGAACACAATCCTACCGGTGAACAAATTTCATCTACCATGTTGCAAGCTGCGTAGCCAACTTCGGTATCAATTTCCCGTCTTCCCATAACCCCTCCTACGTACAAAGTACACTCACCAACACTACCACACTTTTCGGCACTTTCTAGATCTGTGCCTTATAGAAACGATCCCATCATCTGCAGTGTAGCCTCCAATAGAATTCTGAGGGGAAACGGCGGCTGAAATTAAGGTGTCTTCTGCGTGGCTTGTGCACAGTACTTTGATTTCCGACTGCGCTTGCTCTGAAAGGAAGGTCCTTTCTATGATGACAGGCTGGCAGGTTATCCCCTGGTCAGTTTGGTTTCCAGTGGACGACCTCGTATCTGCTATTGTCAGATCATGAGACCGATCGTCCTAACAGATCATGTCTACATACTATTGCGATCCAATTGCCAATGAGTTCAAACCTAAAGTAGGGCGCCACGAAGCGTAGACAATCGCATAACTATCCATTCACACGCTGCTGATGCCACCAATGCTAAGCTATAGATAAATATGGTCGTAATGAAGCCAACCGCCTAACAATAAGCTTAAAACCGCACGATGCCACGTTTACACTTCCTGTATATAGTTCGCAGGTACACTTTTGGTGACCCCTCCCCGTTCGACGTCGGCCCATCCGTCCCCGCTGTCCCGGTTGACCAGCACGAACCGGTCGCCTTGCACCATGCTCCATTCCATGTCGCTGCGCGCCTCGTAATCATACAGCGCTTCGACGTATTGCAATTTCTTTGCCCCTCGTCGAGGGGCGACTGCAGGCCCAACCCGCTTAGGCGCCATACTGCCAGCTAGCGAGGCAGACGAGTTCGAGTACGTAGAGCCCGGCCGATCGGTCAATCCGGGACTGGCCGTGGGCGCAGGGGATGCTGTCGGTGCCACTTCCACATATGAGGCTGGGACGAGGCCTTCTCGCGATCCAGCGCGAACGCGCATCCACCCAGAGCCATCTAGAAAACCTCAATTAGGATGATTCTTCACTCGTCAACGGCAAACTTACCATCAGGTTCGATAATATCCACGTCATCCCCTTCCTGCACTGTGATTTCGTCCGCCCCTCCAGCTTGATACGAGTACAACATCTTTCCACGCGGCTCACCTGATTTGGCGGGAGCGGATGGCAACTCACTTGCCGCTGGAGCACTAACATACTGTGTCGGAGGTGGTGCGAGAACCCGATTCCTCTTCGGAGCGGCGCTGGCCGGTTTGGTCTCAGCAGGCACAGCAGGCTCTGTTGCGCTGGCGGGTTGGCTGGTGACATTTGACAACGATCGGTTTGCGCTCGCCGCATATCCGGAGCTCAAAGAGTTCATCGTATTTTGCCGAGTGAGCGATGGCGCGGCCGACGTTCCGTTCGATGGTGTAATTTCGAGCGCTGGCATGGCACCGGCTTGCTCTTGTCGCTCTGCCTTGAGCTTCTTCTTCTCCTCCTTGGTCTGCTCGCCAGGACATTCCGCGGGTACCTTCATCTGACATTTGCTGTGGCATGTGTACCCGCAGTCCCGACAATCAAAGCCCTTGGCTGATAGTCCCCAAATGCGCTCCCCGCAAAGATCGCAGTTGGTTGGGATCTTGAATGTCTGCGACTTGAAATTGTGATTCTTGGCTCCTAGAGACAAATCGCCCACGACCGACATGATGGTCGACGTTTCAACCTCTGAGGCCAGTCGTTTCCGGTCTGTCTCATGGAGCGCCTCCTGCAAGAAAAATATGGACCGGACCACCTCGACTTCGTTCCGGTTGTCCTTCCCTTGCCGGACATTTTCTCGTACACGCTTGGCGTTCTCAACTTCCCGTCGCTTCTGGTCGGACTCGACTCGCAGGTCCCGGACTTGCGTCTTGCCCTTGCTGAGTAGGTTGCGCAGAAACACTTTGGCTGACTCATCTGTAATCATCGACTCGTCATCATGCCAGATAGGACTGGGTTCGAATACCATGTTGGCAGGTTCCTGCACTTGGGTGACGTTGTGACGAAGGAACATGAGCGAGTCAAGGTGCGGTACGTTTCGAGGGATCTCGTTCAGTAGATGTGACATGTGGTCCATACTTTTAGAGAGAGAAGCTTTCTCTAACTGAGCTGCGAGTGACCATACCGAGTTGAGTTTTGTCACCCGGGTCTCGTTCAGGTCTTGCAATCCCTATGCGCAGTGAGCAATCCACCCTTCTGTGATCTGAGGCCATCTACTCACATCAAGAAGCTCTGGCACATATTCATGGAAATATTTCTCCTTCATCTTGTTGGTCACATTTATGCTGATGAGGTACATGTTCTTCGACATATTAGCAAGACCAGGCCAGGCAGGGATTGAAAAGAACGGCCAGCTCACCTTGATATTATTCATTTCCAAAATCTGCTGCTGATAGGCAGCTTGCGCCTTCGACTTCCCATGGTCAAACGAACTTTCCATCTTTTTTCTGCGCGCCTCGACCTCCTGGCATGCCCCGTCATATTTCCCCTTTGCCTTCTTCAGCTCACTATACGATGAGTCTCTCTCCTTCTCCAGCTTTGCATGAAAGTCCACATGGCATTTCCTAAGTTCTTCGTACTGCGCCGCTGCTTGCTTGAGAGGCTCCGCCACTTGCGCGACCAGCTCCGAGGCAAACTTGTCCCGTTCCGCGGCATGCGATTCGACAGCGGTCAATTGCGTCGTCCAGGTGGTAAGGGAGGCGCTTTCGAGGGAGCCCGGGGTCATTATAGGATTGTCTCCAACGCTCAGGCTGCTGATTTTCTTCGCCTTGCGATCGTAGTATTTCCGACAGAGAGTAGTGAGTTTGGCGGCATATTCCTTCTCGATCGCGCTCCGCTCGCGATAAAACTGTTGTATCTCGTCGAGCCATTGTATCCCATTCGACACCTATGAGTGACGTTCAACACTGTCGTTCTTCGTCTTGCGGACAAAATGCGGGGAAGCGACTTCGGTACGTACCCAATTGTTCACTGGTTTAAATGCGTCCTATGTCAACACAAGGTATTAGGTAGCCATTCTCAAGTGCGCTGATGGTAAACCTTACCTTTAGCTCCGCCCCAAAATGAGGAGCAACGTCCGCTGTTGCCATCTTTCAGAGGGCCTCTGATGTATCCCGGCGCATAAGACACAGTGTCAGAAAGCCAAACCTGGGTGTAGCGTGTACTTAGGTGGCCACGTTCGTTCGTGCAAGAGAAGCCACAATTCCCCACGTGCTGACGTCCTTTGGCGTTTGATGCAGCCAGTAAGGTGTCACAAGTCGGTGAGACTAATAAAAATAGGAAATGTCTGATAAGAAGCGACCAAAAGGCTATTGTCATCTCATGTTTAACTCCGGCGTTGGTGCGGGCATTGCGGAAGCGGGGATGATGGCTGATGGTTCATGGACTCATTGGGCTGAGAAGGCTGTGACAATACCAAAACAGCGGCCTCAGGCCATCCAGGCCTCAAAAACCCCAGTTGCCCTGGCACTGAAGTTACCATTCTGTACCGTCCGGTAACACTACGTAATTGTTCTCACCGCCTTCCGTTCAGCGCTAGTCAGGGGATTACCCAAAAGAGGGAAAGTGTCAATTACACGTTATCGCCTGGCTGGGTTTTTCTACCGTCATTATTGTGCTCCTGAAGCGCAGTCACGGCTTGATTCCTTGGGGATTTAAGCTTGAATTGCTACCTATCATCTCGCGATTCGCATCGGCGTCTGTGCGATTTCGGCTCTTGGTCTTTGCACTGTGATAGAGTCCCTCCTTTAATCATCTGATTCTATCCTTACTCTTGTCTATCTCTCATTTACCCCGCTGTTTGCCTCCCAAAAACTCTCCACAGAGCTCTGGGTGTTACCCGCCTGCTTACAGCTTCGAAACTACTGGACCACCTTTTCGTCTTTAGTCTCTTCAGTTTCTCTTGAAGTCACCTATTATGGCCTCAGAACAGCCAGTCGAAGACGCCCCAACGGGCGGTTCTCTCGCCGATCGCGTCACGAAACCCGATGAATCAAACACTTCCGGTACGAGCGCCATATTATCCCTCTTCGGCGGATCAGATCGAACATACGACTAATCTGTTGCAAGCAGAAACACCCGCGACCCCAGGCGATCAGACAGATGGTGCTCCCGCGCAACTTGGTGGCTCCGACCTCCACGAGCCGGAGTACAACGTTGAAGTCAAGCTCAGCGACCTACAAGCCGACCCCAACAACCCACTCTACTCTGTCAAGAACTTTGAGGACCTTGGACTGTAAGGGCGCATCGTTTCGTGTGCATTGTCGCTTGTAACTAATCTCTTTGCGACCCAACAGCGACCCCCGTATTCTGAAAGGGCTGTCGAACATGAACTTCCGCAAGCCTTCGAAGATCCAAGAACGAGCCCTGCCTCTACTATTGAACAACCCTCCTAAGAATTTGGTCGGCCAATCTCAGTCTGGTACCGGAAAGACCGCCGCTTTCGTTTTGAACGCATTGAGTCGTGTCGACCTGTCGACGGAGCAAATGCAGAAGACCCCTCAGGCGTTGATCTTGGCCCCTACGCGAGAGCTTGCCCGGCAGATCCTCGGCGTCGTCCAAGTCATGGGCCAATTCGTTGATGGACTCATTATTGGCGCAGCTGTTCCGACCGACAGAGACAGCCGTCCCAAAAGACTGGAGTGCTCTATTGTCGTTGGCACTCCCGGAACCGTGGGGGACATGATCAAGAGGCGTACTTTTATCCCCAACAAGCTCAAAGTGCTCGTTCTCGACGAGGCCGATAACATGCTCGACCAGCAAGGTCTCGGCGATCAGTGCATCCGTGTTAAAGCGTAAGTTAAGAGTCATACTCTGCATCTACTACCGCCGTTCCGGCTGACGTTACTAGTCTTCTCCCGCGGGATATCCAGGTCGTCCTATTTTCAGCCACTTTTCCAGAACACGTTCATCAATACGCGTCGAAGTTTGCACCTAACGCGAACGAGATTACACTTCAGCATGAAGAATTGACTGTTGAGGGAATCAAGCAGCTCTACCTTGATTGTTCGGATGCAGAGGACAAGTACAAAACCCTTGTTCAGCTTTATGGACTGCTTACTGTCGGATCGTCTATTATTTTCGTCCAGGTTAGTAAACCCACTGCGCCACGTCATTAACGGCATCATGCTGATCAGCCCCCAGACTCGTGTAGCAGCTCAAGAAATCGAGAAGCGAATGACGGCTGAAGGACACACTGTGGTATCATTGACTGGTGAGAGGGATCCCTCAGTACGCGACGCAATTATCGATCAGTTCCGCAAAGGCGAAGCCAAGGTCTTGATCGCAACCAATGTTCTTGCCAGAGGAATTGATGTTTCCACTGTCTCTATGGTTATCAACTATGTAAGTTCACGCTTCGTCTTTCCGAGACTCCATTATTGTGTCTTATGTGTCTAACCCCCTCTAGGATATTCCAGAACTCCATCAGCCCAACGTACCTGGACGACAGGCAGATTTCCAGACTTACTTGCACCGTATCGGTCGTACGGGTCGTTTCGGTCGCGTTGGTGTCTCTATCTCATTCGTGTCGAACCGCGAGGAATGGGAAATGCTCAACCAGATTCAGACATACTTTAACTGTGAGATTCAGCGCGTTGATACCAAGGACTGGGATGAGGTGGAAGACATTATTAAGAAAACCATCAAGAACTCGCGCGCCAACCCAAAATTTGCAGGCGGGAAGGAATAGGGGAGGACGGGCTTGCTCCAGCGCTGTCTATTGTCCGACGAATAAATGGCTTGGGCTACGTTTTACGTGTACACAGTGATGATAGTAAACTTTGATGCCTACAAACACATGCAGGGAGATAATAGATACCATTGACGTATAAATCCTTATCGTCTTGTTGAGGTATCTCTAGCTCTGGGACCATATATCAGGCGCCATGGTCGGCGATGCCGTCATAGCGGAACTGTGGGGTCGGATATCTCCGATCCTCCGTAGTAACTGATAAGGAATATGTCAAGCTTCGTGGATTACTGGTCGCAAGTTATGGATTGTTGTACTTGTACTTGGGCAATTGGCTATTAGACCAACTCATTGTACAGATATGAAGGAATATCCATGACTCTAGCGGTGAGAAGCAGTCTGTCTGGAAAGGAATGGAAAAGAGGGGTATCTGCCGGGATGCCTGATAAGATGCGGAGAGAACCTAACCTACGAGATAACAAGTCACATGCAGATGCAGGAGGACAACGCTCTTCCTATTCTTCCTCCTCTCGTCATCTCTTGACTCTACTCTTCCAAAGTCACTATTTTCATCTGCTTCGAGATATCATCTCATCTCTACACTGACTTACAATATGGGGGACACAACCACAGCCGCCATGCCCGAAGCTCCGAGCATCCAGTCCCCTACAACCCCTACATCCCCTACGGCCCCGACAACTGGTTACAGCAAGCACATTGTGGTACGTACCAAATACAACCATGCAATCCGGAACGCGGTTTGAACTAAAATCCCCCTTCAGTTGACCACCTACCCCGGCCAAAGCGGCGTAGATCCCGTCCCCCTCGTATGGGGCGCACCCGATGCCAAATCCCGTGGTCCGGTCATCGTCACCCGCGGCGCGGGGATGCTCAAACGACGAAACGCCATGGGCGCCCACGGCGGCAGCTACAGCATCTACAACGCGCTGGCGATCGCGGCGGGAGAGCTGGATGTGAACTTCCGCCCGGACTTCAGGAACAGCCAGCCCACGTTCAACTTCCCCTGGCAGCCTGCGTGGGCGGACAAGACGAAGATCGTCTCCATGGACCCGTTCGGGCATGATGTCGTCAACCAGTTCCGGGAGGAGCTGGATGCCGGCTGGGATATCCGGCCCACGATGGCTGTTACGCGGGCGAATATGAAACTGGCGGAGATCGGGGAGGCTGTGAAGAATGGGCAGTTGGATGTTGATGGGTCGATTGTTGTGGATTCCTCGGGGGAGGTGCGCGTTACCAAGGTCGCGGTTGAGCCGGTGTGGTATTTGCCTGGTGTTGCGGATCGGTTTGGGGTTGATGAGGGGACGCTGCGGCGTACCCTGTTCGAGCATACCGGTGGAAGCTATCCGGAGTTGATCACCAGGCCTGATTTGAAGGTTTTCCTTCCTCCTATTGGGGGGTTGACTGTTTACATCTTTGGTCCACCGGAGCGTGTTTCTGATGAGAATGTGAAGCTGGCGCTGCGGATTCACGATGAATGTAATGGAAGTGACGTCTTCCAGTCGGACATTTGCACATGCCGGCCGTATCTGGCGTTCGGTATTCGGGAAGCAATCCGCGAAGCCCAGAACGGGGGCAGTGGAGTGGTTATATATTTCCGAAAGGAAGGCCGTGCTCTGGGCGAAGTGATCAAGTACCTCGTGTACAATGCTCGCAAGCGTGGCGGTGACACGGCCGACAAATATTTTACTCGGACGGAGAACATTGCTGGAGTGCGAGATGTGGGTTACACCACGTTCAAACAAGATGAAATCGTACTAACGAGCGTATAGATGCGCTTTCAAGCCCTGATGCCAGACATCCTTCATTGGCTTGGGATCAAGAAGGTCGACCGCATGTTGTCCATGTCCAACATGAAGCACGATGCCATCGTCCAGTCAGGAATCAAGATCCTCGAGCGTGTGCCAATCCCGGAGGAATTGATACCGAGCGACTCGCGCGTTGAGATCGATGCGAAGATCAATGCCGGCTACTTCACGACAGGTAGACAGTATACACTGGAAGAACTGGCGGCAGTGAAGGGCCGTGGCTGGGAGAAATGGGAGGATGTCACGGTAAGTAGAGCCTTTCTGTGTAGGCGTCCTTGCTAACTCTGACAAGCATTAACCTGCTATATATGGTCTATTCACAAGCTCAACCTTGTCTTGAAGAATGATACGATCAGTTTGATATCAATTGACCTTTCCGGGCATCCCGATTGGTATGGGCTTAGGTGTTTAACGAATTGGGTTTAGTACTAGCAAAAGTCACCAGATAGTAAGCGACTGCAAGTGATGAAGGCCATGTAGCTTTCCTGCAAAGTATTGCAGGAGGACCTCCTGGCTGTTTGTTTCAGTCTGTCAAGCTATTAGCTGTACTGGCTAACTTATAATATCGGGCGAGCTGCCAATTCAAGCCCTAAGTGCGTATTTCACAGATCGTTCTTCTTTCCGTTATTCCGATAGCACAATCTACGATCCTAATATGCATAATATGATGCGTTTTATTATTTCCTAGAGAGGTACTTCGGGTCGCCATCCGACACGGATTCTTTTCCCGATTTCCCCGCTCTTTTCGGTAAATCATACCTCTCGAGAGGTACAGCTGTAGCTATACCAAATATAAAGCCCCTGCTCTGCCACGCTTTGTCATTACGAACTATTCTCAAACTTGAACTGCCCTTCATCTATGTCTCAGCTGTCAGAACGCTACTCCACCATGGGCTCACACACGCAATCCCCCGCAGTCTCTCCGCAACCCCACGTCCCTAAACCGGGCGTCTGGTGTCCAGCGGTGACCTTCTTCAACCACAACACAGACACCCTGGACCTCGACTCCCAAAAGAAATACTACGCCTACCTCTCCAAAACCGGCCTCGCGGGACTGGTCATCCTCGGCACAAACTCCGAAGCCTTCCTGCTGACCCGCGAAGAACGCGCCCAGCTTATCGCCGCCGCCCGCGAGGCCGTCGGCCCAGATTACCCCCTCATGGCCGGCGTCGGCGCCCACTCCACCAAGCAGACGCTGGAGCTAGCAGCGGACGCGGCGGCCGCGGGCGCGAACTACCTCCTCGTGCTTCCGCCCGCCTACTTCGGCAAGGCGACGACCATGAGCGTCGTGAAGCGGTTTTTCGCGGACGTAGCTGCGCGGGCCCCGCTGCCGGTGATCATCTACAATTTCCCCGGCGTGTGCAACGGGGTTGACATTGACTCTGAGACGATGACTGCGATCGTGCGCGAGTCGGCGGCGGCGCGTGCCGACGGGGTCTCGAATGTGGTGGGTGTCAAGCTCACCTGTGCGTCTGTGGGGAAGATCACGCGACTGGCAGCGACGTTCTCGCAGGACGAGTTTGCGGTTTATGGGGGGCAGTCGGATTTCCTGCTTGCGGGGCTGAGTGTTGGGTCGGCGGGGTGCATTGCGGCGTTTGCGAATGTGTTTCCGCGGACGGCGGCGCGGGTGTATGAGCTCTACAGGGCTGGGAAGGTGGATGAGGCGATGCAGTTGCAGCGGAAGGCGGCGCTGGCGGAGAGTCCGTGTAAGAGTGGGATTGCGGCGACCAAGAATGCCACGGCGGTGTTTAGTGCGTCTCTGGCGGGGATTGAGGGGGCAGAGGAAAAGCTCAGGCCTCGGACGCCGTATGAGGAGCCTAGTGAAGGAGTGAAGCAGATGGTGCGGGAGGTGATGGCGGAGGTTGCGGAGATTGAGAGAAGTATATAGTTGCGGTTGCTTCACCAAATGCTACTGTCAGCTGCATGGAGGCAAGTGCGCAAACGGTTGAGGTGGAGCTCCAGTCTTCTGATCAAAAGGGAAGGTTGATGTTTCTGCAATAGCATTTCATATGAAGCTGGACTGGAATAATTATACCTCATGGACCAGGTATAGTATTGAAGAAAATCAAGCTTGCATTGCCTAGCCGCCCTTGAGAGATGCGTCCCTATCGAAGTGTTGATCGATCACTGGACCGTATAAGCTGCACAGACAATGTAATAGGTAGCTGCCGCAGTACTGGACTGCAAAACTTCTATATAGCATACTTCAGCATTGTGAGAGCGGAGAAGACAAGAGCAACAACGTATTCAGGAGACATTGGACAAGGGATTGCGAATGAAAACAGTCTGTCAGTCAACAGGATCCGCGACATTGCAAGTGAGCAGTGTTTTTAACCGCATCTTTGTAACGCACAGTTTTCCTCAACGTGAGCAACTGGCCCAAGGCTTTGTGGACCTAAAATTAAGACAGCTCTTTGTAGATAGATACTAGATCTCAATCTATCGTCCTCAAAAGGAAGGTCCCTTTGCTAACATTGGGGAAATTTCTCCGACACGCCTCCGAAATCCGAAAACAGCCCGGCATTGCGGGGGTCAGTCAGAGAACAAGCTTGGACAACGGGGTCCCTTCTGACGTGCCGAACACGAAAAGCCGGATTGTAAAATGCAGAGTCGCTGCATTGGCCTACGAGGTTTCGCCGACGAGGTCCCGGATTTTGATATTTCATCTCGCCAAGCTGAGTTGCCAACCTCATTGAGGACAACATCGACGTCACTCTCGGGCCGGGTGGTTGATGACAAAATATTTCTGGCGTGAGACTTTGCTGCAAGATCATCTTTGATCCGATGAGTGATACTTGAATTGGCTTGGATTTGCGACACTGATTGACTCGGTGGAAAGAATATGCTCACTGGAAAGTAGCTATATCTGGAGAAGTTGCACGGCAAAATCGGGCTACTGTTCGGCACAAAGCCGAAAAAATTGGGGAAGCAATTCTCCGAGCCGTATCCCGGGGACCCATTCTAGCTTCGGTAAGTTTCTCAATTACATCTAATTTCATCCTGCCCAGCACGTTGACCATGTGCAATCGCGTCATTGGGTTCTACACGTCGCCCAATCTCAAGGAATGGACCCATGCCTCCAACTTCACCCAGCCGGGTTTGCCGGGAACGCAGTTTGAATGTCCTAACCTCGTCAAGTTCTCAGTCAACCGCGCCGACTCGGAGGACCCCACCAAGTATGTGCTTTTCATCTCCGTCAACCCCGGAGCGCCGCTCGGGGGTTCGGGAACTTTCTATGTTGTTGGAACGTTCAATGGAAGCCACTTCTCTTCGGAAACCCCCCACGAGACCCTCTATGACTTCGCCAAGGACAACTACGCCTCGCAGTGGTACTCGGGCATCCCCGAGGACGAGCCCCCACTCTCCATCGGCTGGGCCAGCAACTGGAACTACACCCAGCAGGTGCCTACCGGCCCCCTCGAAGGCTGGAGAGGCTCCATGTCGCTGCCCAAAGAGCACACTCTGACCAAGGTCGACGGCTCCTGGGTCGTCACTAACCAAGCATTCGACGACATGGCCTCCGTCCGCGAAAAGCCACTGAAGGGCAAGCCCTCGCGGAACGGCGACGTGACCTTCAACTTCAAGGACGTCAAGTCCAACGCCGTCTCCTTCGACGTCAAGATCAACGGTATCCCGTCCTCTGGCGCAACGGGCCAGGTATACTTCAACTTCACCTCTTCAACCTCGGGCGAGTACGTCGATGGCGGTCTCAGATTGGACACGGGCTTTTTCTGGATCAACCGTGTGGGCACCCATCTCTTCACCCAGGCCAACAGCACCGGCTACTGGCCCGTCTTCAACACGACCGTCAAGTCCTTCGACAACGGCAAATTCACCTTTTCCGGTGTCATTGACCGCTCGCTGCTCGAGGTCTCCCTCGCTGAGGGCATTCAAACTGGAACGATGAGTTTCTACCCAACCCGTCCGCTGGATACCCTCACGGTCTCTGGCAGCGATCTGAGCAAGAAGACTTCTTTCCGCGTTAAGGCCTGGGGGTTGGAGAGCGGCTGGTGAGGCGAGTCGTCAGAGTCGCCGTTTGCGAGTTTGTCCTCGTTTGCAATTGTGTATATGTGGATCACGAAGTCTAGACTCTCGTACTCTTAAGTAATGACCTAAGTAATGAATGAAACTAGTTGTGTCCGCCTGCCGAAGCAGGAGTTTTTTGTCCAATTCGATTACTCAAAGGGTTACATCCCTCTTATCGTTATCACGCAACCCCGGACCTCCGTCGGGGTACCTTAAATGTTTTCGTTGATCGCGGAGTGGGGCGGCATGTTGTATGCCATTGTCCCTGAGTCCCTGACTCCCTTGTTTGTTTGCGTCTCCTTTTTCAGCCATGACCTGAATTTCTTGCCGAATTGAACAATATGCCTACTGAAGCGACTCCACGAACCGAACCAGCAAGTAGAAGCAGAAAATCAGATCGCACACGACACAATTCAAGGAATCATGCACTACGATAATCAGCGCAGATAACAAAATGCCCTAAGCAGTGGGGCCTTGGAGATGCCTGCCTAGCCTTGTTGTCCGATTGGAGCAACAACTAACCTGCAAGGGGAGTGCTTGTCGTTACATTACCTCCCAACAGCGCTAATTGCTAAGAGAAATTCTTGCAATGAAGATTGTTGCATGCGCTAGCTGAGATGCAATTAATTAGCTCGTCTGTGTCCTGCCCGGATGTCTGTAGCTGCATGCTTGCTTCCCCTCACCTGGCAATAACTAGGTGCTTAGAGCATTATCGAGCCGAGGGGGAAGAGCTACTTCGTATAAGAATGGCTTGTCCTGTTTCCCTTCTCTCCTCTTTCCCTTTTATGTCTGTAGTTCGAGGGGTCCAGGTTACGGAAGGCTAGATTCTCAGGATGCGGACTGTTGCTACTTCGCTGACGCTTGTCGCGTCTTATCTCTGTGGGGTGGTGTCTGCCATACCCAAGGTGCCTGTGCCACCTCCGCTGAGCGCGCAGGCCCACCTGCTCTCTGGAAACGCGACATTCGAGCAATACATCGATCATAATAACCCTGGGCTGGGGACATTTCCTCAGAGATTCTGGTATAATCCGGAACATTGGGCTGGGCCTGGCTCCCCTGTGAGTATCCTCCGCTCGGTTAATGGCTATTGCTTGCGGTGTGTTGCTGACTG